ATTCTGTTGTTAGATTATTCCAATTTTATCAAAGGAGAACGTTGAGATTAAGTTATTAAAGAATTCCGAGAAATATTCTGCATGCATCGCTAACAAAACTTGCTCTATTAATCCATGTCTTTTAATTAGACTAATTATTGTAATTAGTGCTTGCTTTCGACGTCATTCTTTTCCTTTTCTTTCCTCATCTCTCTTTCTCTTCCTCTCTTCCTCTTCTGCATCAACCTTATCCATTGCNCTTTACAGTAGAAAAAATATATATATATTATTATTATTACTATTATTTAGTAGAGTTTAGGTAACAAAAACTTATATTTTAAACTTAAGAAAAATATAGCAGTAGAAACTTTAGGAAAAAAAATGTAAATTCCTAAGAGCTTCCTCTCTTACTATCCCCAATACAAACTAAATCTATCTAATGGGGATTTGTTGTTTACAAATATCTTTATATATATATATAGGCCTATATGTTTTTCTAGATGTTTCTTCTCTTCGATTTTATATTTTACCTCGATTCTCGATCGTTAAACACAATTAGAAGCGGTATAGAAACATAGAAACAGTCGTCACTCGACTTATTCGAGACGAAGTCTCGACGCTAAAGGTCAAAAGTTCATCTATAAGACTAAAACAATTTAGAGAATAGAAAGAAGTCGGTTGCAATCGAGAAAAAAACACAGAATTTCCTTAAAATAACCGAATGATAAGGTAAAAAAATAGGGAAAAATGTAAAAAAGAACTGCGGCATTCTAACTATTAGAGCGAGCATCGGTTGCGCTTTAACTAGACAGAACAGGAGATGCAATGGAAGTGCCTCCAGTCATGGAATAGATCTGCTTCCGTTTCCATGGCAACCGGTGTAATCGATACCAGGTATAGGAGGGAGAAGAAGAAAGAAATTATTCCTGTACAATTTGCCTAGTCACATACATACTAGCTGTAGGATGCGGTACGTGATTTATTTTACTAATTTAAATCCCCGTTCAGGCTATAAAAAGTTAATCGACGATTAGCATTACGAGTTCCAGATCATTTGTGACGAATTTAGAACGAAAATTTCATATTTTCTTCAATGTATATATATATATATATATTTAAAATATTAACTAGACAAGATAAACGGACAGTTTACGTGACAGACGTTTAAAAAATATTTGGCTTATTGCCCGATATAAATGAGTGAAAATGAAATTGGCACGCATGGTCTTCAATACGTTTAATATTTACAAATATCCATCAATTCAATAAGGTTTTTAAAATACGAAAACGAGAGTAAATATTTACTTAAATCTATAAAATAATTTAAAATATCAATAATTATATTAATTTACGAGTTAATAGAAAGGAATGGAATCGCATTTAAAAAATTTCATTAAGTATTCGTGTTTCTATAATTCATGCTCTTAGAGAAAAACTTTATGGTGAAGAATGAATGCTAATTGGTTTGTTTCTCTGTGTATCTTATCCAATCATCGTTAATACGGTATTCTCTCCAACTAATCGTAGTTAAGACAACAATGTAAATAGCCAATGATCGTTAAGACAATTATTTTCTCAACCAATCTGCAATAAGATAATATGTCTTCAAGCAATTATCGTTAGACAAATAAATTGCCGTTAAGATAACAAACTTTCTAACTAATTAGCGTTAAGACAAACATATCTTCAACCAATTGTTGTTAAGATCTTTTATTTTGAAAAATTCGTTTAAAAAATTTTTAACGAATTTTTCAAACTAATTGAATACGTAGTTTCCTTTAATATATGTTCACAAAAATATTTTTTTAACAATCGCTCCTCCTATTTTCTTCAAGTTTCTTCCTATTTACTTAACACTTAATTCTATAACTCGTGCACATACAAGCTCATATATAAACTCTTCATACACGACTTACACAAGTATTTGCTTTAAGCAGTCTCCAGTTAAAATTTAAATATCTTAATTAGCTTCTACTAATTGTTCGCAACTGTCTCTTCTACCAATTGCTATTAAAATAATAATGTTGTCTTAATCACCATTAATGAAACATGTCTATCTTAATCATAATTAATAGTAATCTTTTCAACTAATTATCAATAATATAATATCTTTCTAAGCAATCGCCGTTAGAAAGGGGGGAAAACACATACAACCAATTATCGTTAAGATAAAAATACTTCTAACCAATTACCGTTAAGACAAACATACTTCGACCAATCGTCGTTAAGACCATTCTTCTCTCTAACAAATCTTCGTTTAAAATATTTTTATACGAAGATCTTAACTAATTTATAAATATATATATATATATTTTCCAAGTTGCCTGTGTATATAGGCTATATTTAAGATTTAGTTCTATAACACTTTCATATCTAAACCTCATTTATGTAGGATTTATAGAATTTAGACGGGTATTTGCTTTAACAGTCTCAAGTTAAAGTTTAAATATCTTAATTAATGTCCAAAAAAGAAGAAGAAGGAAAAAAGGATTTCTAGAAAATAATTTCTTTTCTCGAGTAATAGAAACTAAACGTGTACGAGTATCATTCGTTACTCCATTCTAGAAAAGAAAATTCTTAAACTACTTAACAACTTTTAACATCTTTAGCGCCTCATTATCTTCCTCTAAAAAAAGCTAAAGAGGCGGGTATGCGATAGTAAACGTAATGATGTACTTAAACACGTATTCTTTGTTAAGAATCACAAGAATAACTCAGCTTTTATATATATTTTAATACGTATTTTTTCCCCAAATAAACGAAGATATATATAATAAAGGTATGAAACACATTTTCTACTAAAGTCGATAGATAAAAGTAGCATTTTATTTCAATAAATGCCATTTAAAAATTTTAATTATTGAAGAAAATCGTTATCTTGTATGATAGATTTGATGAGGAATCGGACAAATTTTCCGGATTTAATTTAATGAATAAATTACAAAAGAATGGTTGATATTGGAAATTATTTGAAGGGATTCTTCATTTAATTTACTAGTTATTAAACACGAATCAGAATTAATTGGATTTAACTTTTATTCGTAGATTTAAAATTCATTCTTTCGTATATATACATATAAATATTTTAAATGCAGATACTTAATTTTATGGAAACAAGAAATCATTTATATCAACGAAACTATTATTTTTCTCTGCTAAAAATCGATGTAAATTGAGAATCTATCGAGTATATATCTTCTATTTAAGATAAAAATTAAAATGTTGATTCAAACGTTTATTATCTGAATCAATCGAGGATTAAAATAGATTTTTAATTATTATTTTTTTTGTAAGGATACGTTCGTTCTTTACGTCTTACTGATATAATCTATGCCAAATTTAGAGGTTCTTATTCGTTAAATCGAGGAGTCTATCGAATATATTTTAAGCTAAAAAGTAATATACTTCAAATATTCATTTTCTAACTCAGTAAAGGATTTAAACAATGACTCAGCCATTATTTTCTATGGGAATATATTGTAATCCTACTTAGTACAAACGTTCGTTTTTTACGACAATACTCTTGCTGATATCAACGTTATCATTCTTCCTTTGCTAAATTGAAGAAACTATTGGATATAGGCCTGTATATTCTTATATTTAAGATAAAAAGTGAAATAATCGATTCAAGTATTCATTATCTAATTCAATTGTAGATTAAAAGAAAGTTTTAACAGTTATTTTTTACAGGTGTGTATGGGAATCCTAGTTAAAACAAAACGTTTGATAATACTTTTTAGTCTTAGCGAAGAGACGAAGTGGGATTTTTAAAATGTCAAAAAACGCCAGGAGTACTTTGCCAAACGGGTAGAGTAATGCAAAATGGATTTTTCGATTTTTGCTTGGGGTTCACAACGCAATTACCATTGATTTAAAAGCGATTTCTTTTCTTTATTCTATCGAAGAATGATTAATGCGAGTTTTCGAGTGAGGAAAGCTTTTGATGATTGATTTCATTGAAACGTGTTTAGTAGATACCTCATATCATTATATACTCCTGTTTTCACTCTTTCTTATCCTATAATCTCTTATTGTAAAACATATTTATCATCATTGAAAGAAGGGGAATCATTGCTCTTATCGGCACAGAATGTAACAGAATCGTACATCCCGACGTAATTTTCGATCATGATTTATAAATAAGATAAAAGACCTTTCATTGACAAAATATATTCGCTTCTCTGATTGGTTAAAGAGGAAATATAAACGACGAAATGCGTGATTGGCGACAGTTCGGATATTAACCAATCACGCGTAATCTAAATCTTCGATAATCACTCCCTTCATTATTTAATCCTCGCCTTCAACCAATCAGCTAATCGAACTCGCATTAACTATAAAAGAATCTAGTTTGTTTAGAATGTCTCAACTAAAAAATTTCAATGGAAAAATTTGATAAACTACCAAAGAATAATGTAAGATTCTGTTACTTATATATATGTGCGTACATAAAAATATACATCTGTTTTCTTTTTCTGGAGCAATATGAGTCCCTGGAGTGCCATTAAAAAAATTATATTACTTTTGGAAATTGCCAAAGAGACTAAAGTACCATAGCTTTTGGTTCAAATCACAGCTCATGACTCGAATTCTCTACATACCGTTACAGAGTCATTACAAATACATATCTCTAATATCAATCTACGCATATTTGCTTGGATAATGTTGTCATTTGCAGTTGTTGACAGAATTACGTCAATCTAATTCTTCTCTATGATCGATAAGTCATTTAACCTCGACGTAACGCTAATGAACACTAATTTTCTTGAAAACTATTCCCGAATAACGAAAGTAAACGAAGATTTTTACAAGAATCGCGTAATTTTTCCAACAAAGTTACTTTTTTAAATTAATTTTACATAAAGTAAATTCTCGAGTATATATATAATATATATATATATATACTCTATATAGGTTATATATATAACTTATATCTTGATAAGTTTATTAGATTTAGAAGGCAATGAATATTTTTAATTTATTTAAAAACCTGCAAAAATTCTTGAATAAAACATTGTTGCATCTATAAATATTTTAAAAATGGAAGAATTAAATGTATAATTCGATTAAACGTTGCCCTAAAATAGCTTTTTCTTTCCTTCTCTTCTTTTTTTTCTGTTCGAAGAGGAAAATCGTTAAAACAGCATCTCTGCACTCATCCCTTATCTACACTCGAAAGTTCTGATGATAATTTTTGTACTTAATTGAGCGTTGGAAAAACGAATAATTTATGCAGAAATTTGACTTGATCATAAATTTCCATTATAAAAGTATACATCCAAGCAAGGAAAATGGCATAAATAATCAATCTTTAAACGGATGATAATTAATTAAATACATTATATATATATAAGTTGACATAGAATAGAGTTTCCTTTTGTTTTTTTTTTTTCTACTTGGTAAACTTATATATGTATATATAACCGATATAAAATCCAATTTAAACACATCCATCATTAAAAATTACGTCGAACACTATGATGTCTTTGATGTGATTAAAGAGAAGTAAGGTATTAAGTCTTTGGTTTCCTTTACTTAGCATGGCAGCTGCTCCTTCCTCCTTCTGACGGAAGGTTAGATAATTAAGTAGTGTTTGACCGATTGCTTGTCATCTCGGTCACAACGTGTCATCCATATAGACTCACAAACAGATATAACATCACCTTAATGACCTATATAGTCATTCCACTGTTAAGCCTGTGATAGAAGTTATACCAATCTTAACTACTCACACAAAATACAATTAAATATAAAGCTTAGTCAATAACTAACTTCACCTTCTAAACAAATTGATTTTCCATTTGCTAGAAACACAAACACTTCTACAAGAACAAACTCGTATCCAATCCAATCTGGAAAATGAATCGTTTTCTTCTTGCTACACATACATATAGCCTATATCTGGTTTTCTTTGTAAATAATTTATTTATTGGCTATTTCTACGATTTTAATAGATGTAAATTAGAAATTTTTTTTACCGAAAACATCCCGAAAAATTTATTTTCCTTCGAGATATTTTGCATCTTTGACGTCCATCCAGTTAACTGAATTCATAAAACAGATTTTCGAGACTGATAATGAAAATATTCTTATAGATTTCCTCCTCTTTTTTTATCCTCATATTAATGCGCGAGTAACGAGGATAACTTGTAAATGTGTGAGGCATTTTACTCAATTACCTTAACAAAACTACGATTAATTCAGTTTATAACATGGGTTTTGCTTGTTAACATAAAGTACTGAGAATAACAGTTGGATAGAATTGAATTGAGATTGATCTGGCAGGTTTCTTGCTCCAGGCAACAACATGTTTAGCTGCAGATGGCAATATCATTCTGAACAGGACCATAATCCGATAAAGTAGCAGAGATGTTTGCCATTTAATTCTTGTAACTCTCAATTCTTCATTAGCCTCAGAGGAGAGGCATCAGAAATCATTAAATTTTGTCCTTTCGACATTAAATTCGCACGCACTTAACGGAGAAACTGTGACAACACTCTTTCCTTTTAAGACAAATAATACAATTAAATATTCAACTTTTGATGCGGTATTTTCAATCGAATGTCAAGTACAATAACGGACCAATCAAATTTGTTGATTTCGTTCGCTTGAACGATAAACGAGAAAAGTCTTAAGTAAGTAACCAATAATAGATCTCGATTATTAAAGTGAGGCTTAAATATTACGAAAACTCCTCCTACATTTCCTTTCCATTTAAATAAGTTAAATTTTATATGAAATAATAAAGCAAATTCTTTTTTTTCCAAATTAAATAATATTAATTGTTGCATATTGCTAGTATGTTTGTATGCTGTAAATAATAACTTTTGTGTGTGAATATTTATCACTTTGTAGACTTAACTCTTTTTTTTTTTGTTTTTTTTAATTAGAAACGGTTGAATACTTGATTATATTGCTGCACGCTGCACTATCCTTTGCTTTGCTTCTCGGCACTGCTTTTAATTTACTTTCTCTTTGATGAAAATCCCTCAAGAAGTTTACAGTTAAATCCCCGAAGTCTAATTTTTTTGTGCTTTTGTCAACGCGTTATTTTGCATGAAAAACGAAAGAACCTCCAAACGAAACCATTTTGATTAATAGCTTTATAAAAAAAAATGAAAAAAAAATAAAAAAGACAAATGTGGTATTTTGTTGTTTTTCCTCTTGTTTTGTTTTGATAAGAAACAATTTTGCTGGCTGACCTTTTTTTCTTTTTTTGTGATGTTTTGACTACGATATTTTGGGATTTCTTCTACAGTTTGGTTGGTGGCGATGGAGACTTGGGGATGACTTCTATCCACGGGGCCATATCAACTTAGCCGCCCTGCATGATGCCACACGTTGTGAAGTAAGTGGTATCGTCTTTTCTCTCAACGAAATATACTGTAGGTTAAGCTAATCACGTGACTAGGTATAACAGAAGCCATGTTGAATTATATCAACAAGACTATAATAATTTTAATTTTTATGTAAAAATTGTAAACATGCATTTAAAAAAATCGCATTATCTAATGTAATTTCTATTTATGTAAAATCTAATTTAAACTTTTAACACATAGTCTTTTTTTTTTAGATTAGTGAATAATAACATTTTTCAACTTTGAACTTAAAACCTAGTCACGTGTCGCTGCCGAGTTACACCCCTTTCTAACATAATTATTTACATTTCAAAAGTCAAGAGTTTAGTTTTAAAGCGTTTGCAAATGATGAAAGACATGATCAATTTTGAATGAGGAGGAGTTTAATCAAGATGATTGTTAGGTCGTACGAATTTTCGTAGTTAGAAACTTGGATACACAACAGTTAACTTGGCCTAGTTATTCCGCGAATATATAAATCGAGAGATTTAAAATTAGTCTCATGAAACCATTAAGAAAATTTTGACACACTTTAAAATGATATTTTTGAATTTAAAAAAAAAAAAAAATGGAAGCTGTTGGTAATTAAGTGTAGGATCTTTACATTTTGATTCCCTCTTTTTCCAATGATCTACAGCCGTGTTTTGATTTAATTAATTCGCTGTCAATGGAAGAAACTGTGATGTGTCATTATCAGCAATACGAAACAATCAAGCAATAAAAATTCATCAGGAGTAGACACCACTGATTCCAATTGTATTGCTCCATTAATCAATCCATAATTCTAACTAAAGACTAACTCCAGCTCCATACAAAAGCTTCCTAATGTAGACTAGGCCTGTATAGAAATATTCACTTAATAAACAATCAATTAATCTAGAAAAATATTAAAAACTTTTATAAATATTTTACCAAAAAAAATAGTCCATTTTAAAACGAGTAATTATGCAAAAATTATAATTTTAAATGCAAAAAAAACCTTAACGAAATTAATTCTAGTAATTAGCTAACATCTCTAAAATTACATTTAGTGGGTTAGTTTTCTGGATTAGAGAGAAAAACCATCTCGCCACTATACCACCTGTCTTTCACTTGTGTAATTAATGTCAAAATACTGTTTTTTTATTATTTTAAATTATCTCTTATACACTTTTTTAGTGATGGTGATATAAAAAATCTCAAGATTTTTTAAAAGGAAATTTATAATATAATAAGGTTAAATATGGTAAGGAAATTAACTAATTAAAGAAATTAATCAAATTAACGAACGATTCACGTTCAATTTAGACTTAAGCGTAAGCTTTTCCATTTAATAATCGATTAATCATTAATCCGGAGCCATTATTTTTGTGTGTATTTGTATATATTTTTTTAAAACACGCGCACACTTCTCTCCCCCTTTCTCTCTCTCTCTATCTATCTTCTTCTCCTTCTTCTTCCACCTTGGAGCGAAAATAGTTTTACATTTGATATTTTTCAATCTTTTCTAGCGATAGAAAATATTATTTCTTATATAAAGAAGAAATATTGAATCAAAACAACATTTGACGTGTAAACACTTTTGGTATATTTTGTCAGTAGTTTTTATTTTTATTTTTATTATTTTTTTCTTTCCTTTTCCTACCACTTAAACCAAAATACTACTGGCGATAAACAAAACGGTTTTCTCAACAAGAAAAAGAGAAGGAAAGATAGAGAGGGAGAGCAATGAAAAGAAGAACTTTTGTTCAGTTTCCACTTGTATTAATCTGTTTCTCAATATGATGGCTTACGCAGCGTAATCCTCTGATCTGCTGATGTTATAAAATTGAATATGGTTCTTGGCATCAGCGACAAATTAGCTGGTAATGAATGACTTTGCCTTTCCACTTGGTTATTATACCTTTCACTAACATGTGCAGGCTCATTTCTCAACGGGAATCAGCCTTGCTTTTCCACTAAAGCGTAAAAAGCAATTCTTCCTAATGTAGTCATAATTACTAAACTCATATTCTTCTGTTTTGTGAGCGCTTAAATTTGTTTCTCCATATTTTTTTCTCTTCTTTTTCTAGGGTTTGACATGTATGCTGGTGTTCTCCATCTTTGCTGCCGTCCTTGGTATGTTTCAATTTGGTTACAACACGGGAGTAATCAATGCTCCACAAACAGTAAGTAAGAAACAATTTTTAAAAACAATTACTTACATATATATATATATTTAGAGGTCTATAATTTAATAAAACGTACTAAATTTTTCATTATTAATTATTAAAAACACAATTGAATCAATAAAATAAACGATAAACACATAATCATAAAAGAGCTGCCTTTTCTGTAATTAATTCATAAAATCTGACCATTAAGAAACATTGCTTACGGTCATTTGCTAATAAACCACGCCTCTTTAAACTCTGATTACTATTTAAATTCATATTAACCAATATATGAAAAGTGGGGCGTGTTATAAACTTAAACTCGTTACGTAAAAGTAATCTGACCAATAGGAATAATTTCGACGAATCGTTTGAATTTATTTTGTATCCGATTAACCAATAGTTTGAACATGCGATTATAATTTCATCCAATGAAGCTATAACGTTCTATTATAAATTTATTCACAGAATGGAGACTTTATTAAGCATGAAACATGCTGTTAATAGAACATGTTGATGATTTTATGAAGGATGCAATTTGATAGACAGATATTAAGCATCTATGCTAATGATTATTGATAGTGCACCGTCTAATGACTGCGGATGAATGTAATTTCCCAACAGTTAATCCGTTTAATTTTGTAATTATGACTTAGGTTTCTCAGTTAAGCGTGGTGTTTTAACAAATCAATAATGTAAAAAAAATATCCTCCTTTATAAAAATAACATTTTATTAAACAAAAATTTTAATAAAACGAAAAAAAGTTTTTTAAAATTCTTATCTAAAGACATTACAAATTGCTAAACCTTTAAAAAAAACCCCATCAAAATAAAGGTGTTAAATGTAAAAGTTATAATGAAACACGATTTATTTTCATGTAAAAATAACATTTATTAATATTTATCGAAATTTTTACCTGTTTTTATTATCTTTAAAATTTTGTAAACTAAATTCGACTTCACATAACCTTTATTTCTTTAATAAAAAATACTTTTTTTTGATCTTGAATGGATTATTTTACGATGTATATTTGCGTTTTATTTGGTTTTTTTTATTCTAAAATATGACAATACTTTTGAGTTTTTCGATTAAATATATATATATATACACATATACATACATTTTTTTCTTCGTTTCTTTGGGGTTATCCATTTTGTTTAATACAAAACAGTTCAAAAAATTTATGTTAGTGTAATATTATATTTTCCTCAGAGAACAGAAATACAAATCGATTTTTATAAGCCTGAAAGGCTAGAAAAATGTATTAAATTTCAGTAATAAATTTTGAAAAAAAAATTACTAAATACTTAAAATTTCTGCATACGAATTTATAAAAGAGTTGTTATGAAATGTAAGAGACTCGTGCAAATATACAATGGCCCAAAAGTCATTTAACCACGTTTTGTTTCGTGTTAAATGTGTTTTTCTTTTTCAAAACTGTGGAAAAAAAAATTTTTTAATGTGATTATTTGAATAAAAAAGCAATTTACGTTTCGAAATGGTTAACCGACTTTTTAGCCACCCCATTTATAAGGGAGAAAATTTAATCAAATAACTTTTAGACCATCCTACATAACTTATTTTTGAAAGAAGTAAATTTTAGTTTTTGTAAAGGTAAACTGACTTTTGGGCCACCCTGTATTCTTTGAAGACATCAATTGGCTTTAGAAGCATCTTGTATATTTCAAATACTTTTTAGTTAATATAAAAAAAAATAATCAAAGTCTTTAAATGCAAAATTTACATCTTATTAATGGAAAAAATAAACCCCAAAAATAATTAACATTCCCCACTTTATTAATGGGAAAAATGAACTGCAAAACTCATATATATAGGCCTATATATATATATGCTTAGATAAATTAGAATAATTTAAGAATATTCTTAAAAAAAATATATATATAGGCCTATATGACATAAATTGCATTTAAATCTCAGCATATTAATTATTGCACTTGAAAACATAATCCTATCATCCTTCTAAAATATGTTTCGTGTATTAAAAGCTTTAATTAAATTTTTATAAAATTAATAATAAAAAAAATTATGTTTTTTTTTTCCTTTTTAAGTTTAAAGATCATATATCACGTGCTGGATTGCATCTAAAGCAGAATTTCTTGTGCCATGAAAACTTCTTTGAGTCATCAATTCAATTTTTTTTTTTTTTCTGCAAACGAATTCTTTTCTTCTAGAACAAATTTATTACTCTATAATTATTTTTAAGATATATTTATACATTAACTCTATATTTAATTGTATATTTAAATGTAAAATGTAATTTTTGTTAGAATAATTAGCAGAAAAAAAAAATATAAAGTAAGTCGGGGAAGATAACACTAAGTTTCTCGTGTATAAGGTTTGGATTTGTTTACGGATACGCGACATGTGGACGATTTGACGAGGGAGAATATGCTCCGGAAGGATTTTCTATAGGGAATTTGACCCTATTTAGGTGTTACGAACGTAAAGAAGGGTTTTATTCACGTGGAAAACCCGTTGGAAAGGCGCGGACCCAAACTGTGTTCAGTAGTTTTTATCCCCTCGACCAATGGTGGCCTGTGTTTTAAGATATATTCCTTAGCTAGGGCATCTTTTCCGCTTACCTTATTTAGTGAATTTTTATGTTTAATGTTCTTGAAAAGTTAGCATCGTATACGCTAAAATATAATGAAAATTTTAATACTTATTAAGCATTTTAATGTATTATTTAATTACAATTAATCTAAAAATATTAAATAAATGAATTTTTTAGTAAATTTAAATGTTAAAAATCTTTCTAAAATATTTATTTATATAAACTTTGAATATCTAATCGTTAAATTTACAATTTAATTAACAAGATATGATAAATTCCCATTAGCCATTAATAGTTATGAAGAGAAACATCATAATATTAAATAATTTATTAATTTATTTTCGTCGGAAATCTTTTATATAAATAAAGTAAAAGTTGTACATTTTAAATGGCTTCTTAGTTAATTACGTATCATAATTGCAATTACTGAAACAGAGCAGAAAATTGCTTTGAAGTTGTCATTATGAATTCTTTAAAAGTCTCTCGAATTTTAGAAGATTGTATTTCGTCTGGAAATTATTTCTAAATCTATAAGTTTACGAATTAAATATAGATTATAATCTAAAGAAATTGTTGAGAATAAGCTAAGGAAAATGTGTTTAATAAGATAAAGAAGATGCTATAAGGAAGCTAAAGAAGGTGTTGTTAGATAAGGAAGATGCTGTAAATAAGCTAAGGGAAGATGCTGTGATTAAGTTAAGGAAGATGTTGTAGTACAGTATATAGGATAAGGAAGATATAAATATGTTGAGGAAGTTGCTGGCTTTGAAGCCAAGGGAGATATTGTATATAAGGTAAGGAAGATGTTAATAAGGTAAGGAAGATGTGGAATATGTTATACAAGAGCCAGGAATACATGCTTTCTTCAATAAACAACTTTAATAATAAAGAGATCTTTAGTGTATGCATTTCTAAAAATTGTCTTTTATAAAAGTGTTTTATAAAATATAGAATTTTTAGAAGTTAAAAAATCATATGTAGAAGAAGAAGAAAGAGAAGAAAGAATATAAGATAAACCATTATCCATTGAAATTACCCGAATAATGTTTGTTATCTTGAAAGCTTTTCAAAATATCCTTTGAATTTTACAGGAATGTTTTGGATTAAATACTTAACTCATGCTTTTTTTTCTTCCTCCTAAGAAAATACATATGCAATTGTAAGAAATTCTACTTTTTACCTTTTCTACGAAGTGAAAATGCACGAAAATGTACATTTTATTAACAGAAAAATGGTATAGTGGATACACGCACCATTAAGTGATGCGGAAGATAAATCACTTTATCTAAAAAGATAAAAGAGAAATCTTTAAAGATGGCAGTTGTCAGAATTCGTAAGAAAATGGAAATTCTTGTAGCAGAAGTATAGTTTTATTTGAATCACGTCTCTCACATTCAAGAGAGAGAAACATATAGAGCACACCTTGTTTCGCACCATAAAATTCGAGTCAGTATCTATCCACCATTCAGAAAAATCTTCCATCGTCTTCTTTAGTTTTTGGACCAGAGGGATGCACGAAAAGCGCGTGTTCCGAAACTAGAATAAATGTTAAATATTTGATGGAAAAGTTTGCCATTTTCAATATGACTTCGGGCAGTAAAGAAAATTCTTCCAGAAGTTGAATATTCTGCAAAGATTTACTAGTAGTATTTTATATATATACGTATTTTTTTTTTTTGGTAAATCGATAGGGTATCGCGTTGTGAAAAGACGAATACAGAAACAACACTCCAATGCACAGGTAGCTTTAGAGGAAATTGATGTTTTAAGAATAGAAGTGACGTATGTTTGGTTTCTTGCAGATCATCCAGGACTTCATACGCGACGTTTATAAGATGAGAACGGGAGAAGATATCACGGATAACTACAGAGATCTTCTGTGGTCCATCACCGTTTCTGTGTTCGCTATTGGAGGAATGGTAGGAGGCATCATAGGAGGCTCCATAGCAGATAAATTTGGAAGGTAAGTCTTTCGAATTCGCGAGAAAATCCTCTTCGAACAAACAAAAAAGAAAAAAAAATTTCTCAAACTTCCACTCTTTAACACGATACTAAGCAAAGAAAACAAGAGAAATCGATTAAAGATTTCCTAAAAATCGATAGAGTACGTCCATTAATTGATTGGACGACTTAATTAACGATTAGTTTGAAAGTTTAGAGAAACAAAACTTGACGCTTTCTCGGTGTTTTTCTCCCTCTTCACAGCTATAATAATTTGTTATTGTTTGATAGGAAGAACGGTCTTTTATTAAATAACATCATGGGAATCATTGGCGCAGCCCTGATGAGCCTCAGCAAGATATCAAGAAGTTTCGAACTGCTGATTATCGGGCGTTTGATAATTGGCTTTAATTGTGGTACGTCATCAAATTAATAATCAGGATAAGAATTTCTTTAACCGTCTTTCACGAATTTCTCTCTTGTTTACAGGTCTCAATACAGCCGTAGTGCCAATGTACTTATCAGAAGTCTCTCCTCTAACCATGAGAGGAGGTTTAGGTAAGTTTATGTGTGACGTAGAAAATCGAGTCTACCCACTTGAATTTGACACTAGTCCCTCGGGTGTTAAGGGTAAATGGCCTCTTTCTAGTGTCTGTGTTAATCATTAAGAGTAGATACGTGTCGTATCGATATAACACGTAACGTCACTCAGGTAAGTTATCGTAACAAGCAGATAAACAGTAGAGAAGAAGACTATTTGACAGATAATCCCACACGGATAACAAAGATGTCGTCCTTCTTCTCTAACCATCGTCTCGTCGATATAATTATAGGCCTATATAAACTTTGTTTATCGTCACGTTTAGTAAATATTCATTCAGTTTTTAGTATAAGTTTGTCACTCAAAGACGGGTAAACTCAAAGGTGAAGGATGTCTGTTTTATTCAAATATATATATATAAAAGCAGAGAAACGTATGTTTAAATTTTCATTTCTGGAGGAACGAGTTCAAAAGCCGAGGGACTATCCAAAGTTAACAACATGGAAACGGTGCAAAACATCAATATTTCAACAGTTGATTCTTGTTGAGGAAGACGTCACATAATTCACTTTCTCTTCTTTTACCGTTCGGTTTTTATACATAATTTTAAAGTAAAAAAAATTTTTTTTAATAACATTTAAAATTTTATAAATTTATTAAGCATCGATGATAAAGATGTGATGCTTGATCATCTTGATCTTCCGCATCTCAGTTGATGTTGAATGGTCTTATTATATTTTCTGTATCAACAAAAGTAAAATAACTAATTGTTAGTCCAAAAATTATAATGAGTTGGGGAGAACTTGCACACGATATGCTATTTTGGGGTAAAAATACAGTAATTGTTCTTCTATAAAAAAAAATATTCAGTTTACCATATAGAAAATATCTTATTGAAAACAATTCGTTTTTACAAAATATGGGACAAATTGCTTGAGGAAACTTGCACATTAGTACAAAACAATTTTAAAAAATTAATTTAGTTATATTTTGATCATATATTTCCTATTATTCAGAACATGTAAATGATTTTTATCAGTTGCATTTATACAGGTTTCATGAAATCATATTTGGCATTCAGAACATTGTATCCAGCCATTAGGATTTCTTTGATTAAAGTACGAAACTTGGCAAGAACCACAGAATTCATCGCAATCTCTGAGTGCCCCACAAGATGAAGTTGAGGTTTCAGATTTTTCATTCTTTCTCTTTGTTTTGCATAAGTTTGTTTTGAACTTTTAGCTTAATTTTTTAATTTCTCCTACGAAGATAACATGATCAGATGATGATAAAATCTTAGTCAACTGCATTCTTCTCCTCCTCTTATTCTGAGTAACTCCATATTGAAATAGTGATATTTCATTTATCGATGTGGTTGAAAATTTCCACGAATCACGATTAGTCTTTCTTTTATATATTTTCTAACCATAAAATATAACTGACCAATCGCAAACAATCACGTAAAATCCTCGGATCCAATCAAGTTTTACATTAAATTTTAATTTGCACGTCCTTTCAGGAAGGATCAGATGATAAATTTCAGATGAAAAAGTTAATATTTTATAACAGAAATTAAATTATTACCGTTGAAATCATTAAATATAGGCCTATATCTTATATAAATGTCAATATTGCAATTATACAGGGAGGAATTTAATTTTGTTTCCTTTTAAGCGTGTATAAATGAATCACACGCAAGTACTCATAAGTAATATTGTATAAGGAAAAGCAGTAAAGTTGTCTCGTAGCTGTCAGCGTGGAAAATTTGTCATTCAATTAATGTGCAAACTGGCTATAGTTAGTAAACAAGTAAATAAATTAAATACCTTAAGGTTTATAATTAAACAATTCGATTATGGACAGAGAATTGGCGTTAAGATTTGTTTTCTCTTCCATTACAAAAAAAAAAATAATTGGTTTGCTTTCTTCCATTGAAATATCTTCGTCCTCTTCTATTGCAAAAGGTTGTTGTTTGTCCTACCTCATCACTAAAAATGTTGTTGTTTCTTCTCTTCCATTGCAAAAATGATTGTTGTTTGTTCTTTGTCATCGTGAAAAAGTTGTTGTTTCTCGCTTCCACTGCAAAAAAGATTGTTGTTTGTCCTCTTCTATTGAAAAACCGTTGTTGTTTCTTCTTTTCCATTGTAAAATGTGTGTTGTTTGTCCTCCCATCACAAAAAAAAATTGTTGCTTCTTCACTACCACTACAAAAAGGTTTCGGCTTTTTCTCTTCTATGCAAAAAATTTGTTGTTTATTTCTCCTTTTCCATTGAAAAAACGCTGTTTTTGTCGTCTTCCACTGTAAAAAAAAATAGTTTCCTGCCTTTATCCATTACAAAAAAAAATTGTTGCTTCTCCTCTTCCATTACAAAAACTTGTTGTTTCTTCTCTTCCATAAAATAAAATAACTCTGTATAAATCATTTTAAATTGTTACTTAATTAATAATTTAAATAACTTATATCTTCTAGGTACAGTGAACCAGTTAGGTGTGACTATAGGTTTGCTCATGTCTCAGGTTCTAGGAATTCAGGCTATCCTGGGCACTGAAAGAGGATGGCCTTTCCTTTTAGGTAAGAGGATTTCGATTACTTTAAGTACGGTTAACCTTAACGTAATTAATTAATTACCAACTTCGCCCTCATATCCATACAGAAAATAATCTGCCGAGAAGTTACTTAATTTAGTAAGATATGGCTGTTCTACCCCTGTTAAGAGAGCCGTTATCGATTCAAAAATAATTATGAAGAGCCGTTGCTTCATTGTAATCAATTTCATTATTGGTGCTGTTACTAAAATTCGATACTTACGAGCGGTTGAATGGCTAGTGATACACTTAATGATCATTAAATAGTTACAAGATGCCCAATTATTTAATATTTCTTAAGTTCTGCAGCACGAAACGTCCGTACCATAATCACTAGCCCATTCTATTAGTAATTAATAGTGTTTTTCTGATACAGTTCTGATGATTAGTAGTTTTAATTTTTAGGTATTGCCGTCTTACCGGCAGTTCTGCAGCTACTTCTCCTGCCCTTATGCCCAGAAAGTCCTCGATATTTGCTCATTTCGAAACGCGAAGAATCACTTGCACGCGAGGGTAAGTTACAATTCTCTTATTAATCATTATGTTTAAGGAAAATAAGGAATAATTGTGTAACTACTCCTTAAATAGCATTGCAAAAGTTAAGGTGCTCAAGTCAAGTAGAGGAAGATATGGAAGAAATGAAAGCCGAAGAAAGATCCCAACAGCCTGAATCTGAGGTAAGAAGCACAGTTTTATACTGAAGATTGTTAAGAAACCGTATTGAAGACAATGTTCTTAACGTTATCCACGAAAATATAATCAATTTCTGTAACTTTTGCTTAACTAAAACCAAAAAAAAATATTAGTGAATTTTTGTCATTTTTCCCCCATAGATAACTATGTGGCAGCTCATCTGTAACAAATCCATGCAGTTGCCGTTAGTGATAGGCATAGTCATGCAGCTATCTCAGCAGCTTTCAGGCATAAATGCAGTAGGTACTTTTTACTTTCCTTGCCGGAAAAAAAAACAAAGTTGATGAGAATTCTTTTTTTCTTGATTACTTTTGAATCTAAGATAAGATCCGTTCTTTCAGGTCCTGTATTATTCCACTGGGCTTTTTACTGCGGCTGGTCTTACAGAAGACACAGCTAAATATGCCACTATAGGAGTTGGGTCTGTGTTGGTAGCCATGACACTTGTATCTATACCTTTAATGGATAGAGCGGGTCGACGTACTCTTCACTTGTATGGACTCGGAGGAATGTTCATTTTCAGCATCTTCATCACTATATCTTTACTTGTTAAGGTAAATTATCTTATCATTCTCTTACTTAAAATGCATTTTAGAGTCATAACTTACACTTAGTATCTTTTAGTTCCTTTATCATTGGGTCACTTATTTAAGTGTAGTCAGCACTCTCTTTTTTGTCGTCTTTTATGCAATTGGTCCGGGTAAGTGATGTATGTTCTATATACTAAATTTGACAGAAGTTTTGACCTTGTAAATACACAAAATTTAATTTTTTAGGTCCTATTCCATGGATGATAACTGCGGAACTCTTTTCTCAAGGACCAAGACCAGCAGCTATGAGCATAACAGCCCTCTGTAATTGGTTCGCTAACTTTATAGTTGGCTTGGTATTTCCACAAATGCAGGTAAATTCATCATCTTGTCGAGTCATCATCATAAATTTTTCTGTTTTCTCTTAATTCTTATTGATGGTTGAGCTTTATCCTTCAGAGGTTTCTCGAGAATTATACTTTCCTGCCGTTCACTGCGTTGCTAGCGATTTTCTGGACGTTTACGTACAGGAAAATACCAGAAACTAAGAATAAAACCTTCGAAGAAATTGCAGCACTATTTAGGAGAGGGGACGTGATTAATGTGAATGGACTCAATATCCTTCGAAAATCTCTGCAATCGGGTGAACTAATCTTTGAGGAGAAACAGATAGATCCTTGTGAGTGATTGGCAAATTGTTCAGTAGATTGTTATTGGTTAATTTATGATGTTATTAACCTCTACTGTCGATTTTTCAGCTGCTGTAACAGCGAGAGAAGCGCTCAGCACTAGTAACCCATGTCTTTCACTGCAAGGCCAAATTCGCCATCAACCCCACTGCCAGCTTCGGGAATATTCTGGACGAAAAGAGTTCGTCGACATCACTCCGAATCATATCGAGGACCAGCTCTGACATCATACTCATCTCTCTACAGACATTCGCTTGTAATCAATCACAATAGATACCATCAGGTAATGTAAAGAAATTCACTTACATCAATCCCTCGAAAATCTATTCGATTTATTCATGTAATTTTTAAATTGACAGGTTTTTTTTTGGGTGAGTGACAGAGGCTCAGGTACTGTTATACGCTTCCCTACATCCCTCCCCAAAGAAAAAAATAAGAGAGGAGAACAGAAAGTTTCGAAAAGAAGAAGAAGACGGTTGCATCTTCATTTTCCGATCTCTATACTTTCCACGTGAGATGACACTTCCCAGATTTATGCCAGGACTTTAACGAAGGCGCAAAAATTCGTGGGAAAATATGTCCTCTTCACCTTTCTTCAGACTGTCAGTTAAGACACGAGTCGACAGAGTGTATAATAAAGAAAAAAAAAACAAAAAAAAAATCATCATCCACGGCATGGATTGGAAGAAACAACGTTTCTAAACAGTGCACCAACCCACACCGTCGATAAGTGTATATAGATATGAATATCTGAGCTATGCAGTCGTACACTCTGATCCACATCTTCCAAAATGTTTTCCCCTTTTCCCTTCTCCTACGATGCTTCCACTGAGGGGAACACTGTTGAAATCCCGTTTAAACGTGACTTTAAGACGATGGTGCCTTTTCTTTCCAGATGGAACTCATAAAAGACAAAAAAAAAAAAAAAAAAAACCAAAAACACACACACAAACCAACAATAAAAAAATAAATAAATAATCTCAAATCTTATCGATTGATTCAGAAAAAAAAAAAAAGACAAAATAATGAGTGGCTCTATGGATCATTCGGCAAAAAACCGATTCAAATTCAGTTTTATTCATAATTCTTCGGTTTAGAATCGAGTGATTTTTTGAGTGATTATAAAAAAAATATATAAGAGTTTTTTGCACGAATTTGTGAAAAAAGTTATATAATATCTTCTTTCCCCCCGAGACTTTTTCCGATCCACCCCCTTCGATTCAACATTAAAAAAAAGAAAAAAAAAGCATCCTATAATTCACAATCATCGCCATTAAAATCAATTTTTCTTATTATATAGAAAGATAAAGAAGATGAAGAAGAAGAAAAAGAATAAACAGGAGAAAGGATGTTGATGATGATATGATGTCGCGAAAAATTCTATGTCAAAACTTCATGTCGAGAAACCAGAAAAAAAAAATGTGTTCAAAAAAAAAAACTATATCAGAAAAACAGCAGAGAAAATAATTAAACAATTAATAATAATAATAATAATAATAATAATTAATTATAATAATATTAATAATATTAATAAGAACATTATGAAGTTTTCATGTATTTAGAAGCGAGCAACCATACGAAGATGTGTTGTTAATTTTAATTTTAATTATAATTAATTTCTGATTTTTATGTTTGATGAACGTACAAGAGTTGGAAAATTTTATATAATATAAAAAAAAAAGTCATAAGAAATGGATTTGAATGGGTAAATTGCCGATTATTTGCAAGGATCTCGACATGAAAAGAAAAAAAAAACCTCTTTGAAATCATTCCCGCGCCACTTGGTCTCGAAAAAAAAACAATAAAAATCTTAGCACTCCTTCTGTATATATATAAACTAATGATAGTGATGATGATGATGATGATGATGACGATAGTGACGATGACGATGATGATGGTGATACGTTTCAGTTGGGATGATGATAATTTATATGTCGCAGTGTTGTTTGAATATAATGGTAAGATGCTACGAAAACCTTATGATGGAATTCAGGTTAGTTCAACCAAGTGGAATTTTATGCTCAGTTAAAAAAAGTAATTTGGACCATCCAAATTATTTCGAAGAAATAAAAAAAAATATAATTAGGTAAATGATAATTTCTATAATAACAATTATCGGAACAAATATATATAAATATATATATACATATGTATACATATATATGTATATATATACCTGGTTTTATTATCAGAACATCCATGTGATAATTAAAAGTTATACCAGGTTTTCATTTGCCTAAATGGTTTATAAACATTCATAATTATCATTAAAATTTTAAATTTTCACAAATATTTATAGATTCAGTTTCATGACATTTAATTTTTAAGTAAATTTAGGGAATTTTTGGGGTTATTTTTTAGTGGGGAGGTGAGAAGTGGGTTTCTTCTCGTCGGTTGCAACTGGAAGATCGGGAAATTTTTCCCTTCTTCTCAAAGAATAATGGGGAAATTTCGTCTATTTTTAGGGAAATTTCGGTCATTTTAAGGTAATTTTTACTTGTTTTGATGTCGCGAGGGAAATTTCAGGGAATTTTTCAAAATTTAGGGAGATAAATGGAGGACTTTTTTTTTAATCCAGAAAGTGTCTTAAGTTGTAATTCGTTACAGCTTAAAGATGTGAAATTTTTTCTTGAAAAGAAATATAGGGAAATTTTTAGTAGATTTTATAGAAATTTCGACGAAATTCTGGTTTATTTTTAATAATTCACAGTTAATTTGAATTTGTCTTCCAGTTACAACTTGAAATTTCGGAATTCTCTTTCAAAATACACAACAGATTAATATAAGTTGTAAGTGAAAGACAGAATTTTTCCCTATTTTTTTCGAGAAATAATGGGAAAATTTCTGTGTTTTGGGGAAATAATAACGATTTTTTTTTTTTCAAAATTCATAGTAAAAATGTGCTATTTGTTTTTTACTCTAAAAAAACTATAAAGTAAGCTTAAGTTACACATACTACAGTTTGAAGACAAGACGCTTTTATAAAGAAATATAGGGAAATTTTAAGGGAATTCTGGCATACTTTTGATAATTGTAAATTTATATCTATCTTTCAGTTACAACTTGATACCCTCAACACTCTCTCTTCCATAACAAATAATAGATTAATGTCAGTTGCAACTGGAAGACAGTATTATCCCCATTTCTCGGGAAATAATGGAAACATTCTTGCTGTTTTAGGAAATAATAGGGAAATTTTTTAAACAGTTTTAATAAATATTCGTGACTTGTATTATCAAATTTTATACGATTTTTAAAGTTATAAATTCCAGATTAAATTTTAATAGGTTTTGAAATTAGGCGGAAAAAAACCGGATTTCATTTGGGGATTAAAAAGGAAATTTCTAATAAATCTGATACGATTTAGGGAAAATTCTGTAATTATTTTCCTTAAATCGTAATTACGATTTTTCCCTAAAATACACATTTCAGTTTAAGCTTAATTAATTTGTCTTATAATTACGACGAAAAACAAACCGATTTTATTTACAGAAAAAAAAACCTAAATTTTTCCGCATATTTCATGCAATTTAGGGAAAAAAGAGAGAAATTTCTGGTAAATTTCATGCGATTTAGGGGAAAAAATTGCAATTTTTTTTTTAAATAGAAATTTTAGTTTAGGTAAAGTAGGAAACTTTTTGACAAATTTGGGAGAAAAAAACTACTTTTTTCCCCTTAAATAAAAATTGCAGTTTAATCAGTTTCAGCATTTACTAGGAAAAAATTGATTTTATTTAGGGAAAAGAAAGGGACATTTTCTACAATTTTCAGAGGATTTAGGATTTTTAAGTAAATTTAGGGAATATTTGGGGTTATTTTTTAGTGGGGAGGTGAGAAGTGGGTTTCTTCTCGTCGGTTGCAACTGGAAGATCGGGAAATTTTTCCCTTCTTCTCAAAGAATAATGGGGAAATTTCGTCTATTTTTAGGGAAATTTCGGTCATTTTAAGGTAATTTTTACTTGTTTTGATGTCGCGAGGGAAATTTCAGGGAATTTTTCAAAATTTAGGGAGATAAATGGAGGACTTTTTTTTTTAATCCAGAAAGTGTCTTAAGTTGTAATTCGTTACAGCTTAAAGATGTGAAATTTTTTCTTGAAAAGAAATATAGGGAAATTTTTAGTAGATTTTATAGAAATTTCGACGAAATTCTGGTTTATTTTTAATAATTCACAGTTAATTTGAATTTGTCTTCCAGTTACAACTTGAAATTTCGGAATTCTCTTTCAAAATACACAACAGATTAATATAAGTTGTAAGTGAAAGACAGAATTTTTCCCTATTTTTTTCGAGAAATAATGGGAAAATTTCTGTGTTTTGGGGAAATAATAACGATTTTTTTTTTCAAAATTCATAGTAAAAATGTGCTATTTGTTTTTTACTCTAAAAAAACTATAAAGTAAGCTTAAGTTACACATACTACAGTTTGAAGACAAGACGCTTTTATAAAGAAATATAGGGAAATTTTAAGGGAATTCTGGCATACTTTTGATAATTGTAAATTTATATCTATCTTTCAGTTACAACTTGATACCCTCAACACTCTCTCTTCCATAACAAATAATAGATTAATGTCAGTTGCAACTGGAAGACAGTATTATCCCCATTTCTCGGGAAATAATGGAAACATTCTTGCTGTTTTAGGAAATAATAGGGAAATTTTTAAAGAATTTTTTTAAAATTAAAACAAAAGTGGTGATGATGATGATGATGATGACGATAGTGACGATGACGATGATGATGGTGATACGTTTCAGTTGGGATGATGATAATTTATATGTCGCAGTGTTGTTTGAATATAATGGTAAGATGCTACGAAAACCTTATGATGGAATTCAGGTTAGTTCAACCAAGTGGAATTTTATGCTCAGTTAAAAAAAGTAATTTGGACNTTCTCCCCACAGAAAATATATATATATATATATATGTATATAAGAATACATTATAGGTCTACTTCTTACTATCCAGCTAGCTAGAAGATGATATCGAGTTGAGTTTGCATGACAATTTTTCGTATAAATTATAGATTTATTCGTTTTCTAGATACTTTAACTATACTTAAACATTATCAAGACTTAATTAATTGTATAAATTACAATATAATCATTAATTCGTTTACTGTAAGATCAATATAATCTCTTCCATCCATCATAGGAACCGTGATAGCTAGTTAATACGTTTAGGATTTTTGTAACAAGTATAAAAGAAATAATCGATTTTAAATTCAGAATTTTATATATATATATATATATATATACACACACACACACTATGTGTATATTGTCCTAAGGTTACGTAATTGTACACCCCTATTCTGTAGTTGAAAAGAGATCATTTTGAAAGATACTGAATCATATTTTTCGTCATTGCTTCCAACGTAACAACAGTAACTACTGACCTTCCTAGACGATTATATTTAGTGCATTATTGATCAGATGATTCTCTTAGGGAAAATTCAACAAGGCGAGTATATAGACTTCAATTTAGAAAGATGAGGGAGATTAGTTATTGTACAAAATGCACGGTCTTTTATATATATATAAATCTATCAATTTATCGATTTTAAGGTATGGCTAGAGGAATTTTTTGTGTTTACTTTATTATATATATATATTTTTTTTAGATAATTTAATAATTTTTATAATTCTATATCCTTATTTTAGCCATGCAAACTACTCGGATAAGTAAAGATACAGCTACGAACTCACAGAGTTAATAGGTTAAAGTGAACGAATTATGAATGTTTTTTAAGATTAAGTTCGTTTATTATTATTTTAAATTGAGTTAATTTGAAAAAAAAAATAGCGAATAAGCTTAAAATATCTAAAATTTAGGTCGGAATTTTTCTGTATAAATTTTTAAAATCGTCAACGAAGCTAGAACCGTGCGATGTGGTGGAGTAAAATATTCGGTCTATGAAATTTACAAGAGGAAAAAAAAGACTTATAATTCGAATTTATAATAAAAATATGTATTTAAATAATCCTGAATAATGAATGATTATTTTAACATCCTATTTTGTACTAGAAACGAAAGATCAAACCTTGAACTTTGGAAGAAGGTAAGTAAAATGCCAAGTCGATGTGAACAGATAAGATTTACCAATGGAATTTTTATCTACACAGCTATAAAAATATTTATATATTAACATATTACTAATATATATATACTGTATATATTTTTAATATATGAAATAATTCTATACATTTTTATAAAAATTAAGCCAGTTTACTACGCGTATTAACAGACACGGGGTGGCTCAAAAATCGGTTAACCATTGTAAAAACTAAATTTCTGTCTTATTCAAATACTTAAGCGAGACATAAATAGCTAGAGTAGACCTCCCCCCAAAAAAAACACGAAGTTAACTGACTTTTGGGCAATCCTGTAAAAAAATATGTGTATATATATATATATATATTAATAGTTAAATTCGATGTCTCTCTCTTCACACGTCTTCTCCCCGCCAGTTTATAAATTTTAAAATACAAATAAATAAAATTAATTATTAAATTTGATAATAAAAAAATCTATTTTAATAATTCGTAAATGTTTCTAAATTAATTTTATTTATTCTTCTTCTTCTTTTTTTTTAATATATAAAGAAGCATTAATGAATAATGTGACTAACAAAGCTAAAGTATAATTTTGCAATCAACTGACTTTTGGGCCACCTTATGATCAAACCCATACGATGGCCCAAAAGTCAGTTGATCGCAGATTTCTACATAGTTTATGTACAGTGCGAGCGTAGATATTTTACGTGCACATGCAGGGTGGCCTAAAAGTCAGTTAACCGCGCGTTGTCTTCCGTGTTTCGCGCGTATTTGTGAACGTGGATCTTAAAATAGACTTAGAGCGACCGTATTTTTATGTAATT